GCACCAAGGAAGAATTGACATACATTAAATAAATATTTCAGATGACCATAAACTGTATAGAAGGATCGGTCAGTGTGTTGGTTATCTCAACTGTTGGGTATGGAAACAGATGGTACTTTATCTTATCAGACCATTGACCATGGTCACTCTTTAACATTTCAAAATTCCTAGATTACACAAATTTTAGTCCATGTACTAGAAAAAGAGGTTTCCCAGGTTTTAAACACATTGTTATCTAACCTTGATTAAACAAAAAATGTCATGACCCCCTGAGGCTAGGTCACATAAAATACAGGCAATATGCCGATTTTGCATATTCTCAATGCCATTTTGCATTATGACATACCCCCCTGCTGGCAGTTATGTTTAATTGTAACCAACATTATGCTAATTGATGGGCTATTGTTTCAAAAATAGATTGTCATTTTTATCATAAAATTAATACTTTAAACTGCATTTTTAATGGAAATGTATTTTTTCATCAGATGTGATGAAGTTTGAGGGTTCCTTCTAGTGCATGAGAAGGACAGGTTAATACAGGTAACCCTGGTGGTTGCTGAATACAGGTTGATTTCAGGTGTTTATACCCAAGCATGATATCAGTCAAATTAAGCATAGACATGTTAATATTAACATGTTTTTCATATCACAGTGGGGGAGGTATACTAACAATAAAAATACACACAAATGTAATGTTCGTATTCTAGGCAGGATATCAACATTGTATAGCACTAAGTAATTCATTCTTTTATAGTCAAAACACAAAACACAGCCATTTGATGATTTGACAAAATGCTCGTGTGAAAGACGAGGCTTTAATGAAAATCCTAAATTTAGATGGAAGGGCATGTTTGTTATTAATGATAATAATTTATGTTCAATGAGGGCCAATTATTAGTATTTGGGATCAAGGTAGATTGTTCTATTGTCGGGATGTATGACAACAAAGAAGGGAGTTTTATCGAGTCATATGTGGCCAGTGAGATGAAGGGAAGGTTTAGGTGTGGAATTTGACAGTAGTTAAGAAAATGAGTTGTCATGAAGTCGCGAGCTAACCCCTGTAAACTTGACAAGTTATTGTTAAAAATTAGCTCATCTTGACTCAGAGTAAAAGAAAAGTTTGCGTTCTTTGTTTGTGGGTGTGCGTTAGTTCATATAGAGTTGCTTATTGCAAAAAACTTTCAACAGAAATGAAATGGGTTTTAATGTCCTACTGTTCTGCTCTGACTGGCTAATGAAGACAGGCATACACCATACGGTGTACAACCCGGGAATCGAAACCATGGCAGTTGACTCAATGACAAAACTTATGATGCAACGCGCATGCGCTAACTATTCGGCCATGAATGGGGGGTTGGATTGGCCGAAGGGTTAACATGCAGGCGTTGCATCATTAGGTCTGTCATTGAGTCAAGTGGCATGGTTTCGATTCTCCGCTTGTACATGACATGATGTAGGATCGCCTGTCCAACCTCGTGGGTTTACTCCTGGTCCACCGATTTTCCCCCACTGCTAAAGGCCCCTATGCACAAGCGAATTATTGAAATAAAATTGAACCATGTGTTAGTCCCAAAATGACCTAATTTGTGTCGAATGGACGTTAAACCCCTCTCTCTCTCTCTCTCTCTCTCTCTCTTTCACTAATTATATACAGATGGATGTTTTGAATGCGAACTTGTCACTTAAAGACACATTGCGTTCCGCCGACGGTTTACTTGTGTATAGGTATTAAAACACTGCTAAAGTAGTTTTAACCCTGCAATGGAATTTAATATATTTTCACCCTGGCATTGTACACCCCACCCGCTTTTTATATAACATTTTTATTAAACAACCTGTCGTTAATCCATCTATATTCATCTGTCAAATTACCTGTATAAATAGAGAAAAGGAAAAAAAATAAACGACACCGGTCAAGATGACAAAATAGAATTTTATTATTACAAATTCTAATATACGATTTATATATAATAGTGATGATAATGGCCGAATGAATGGCGAATAATTTGAATCGTTCAATGACAAAAGATTTTATTGTCAATAGAAATGTTTTGCTCGAGCAGGTATCTTTGAAATGCATTCCGTCTAAGTTATGCCCTGACTGTGTAACCTATATATCTATATATGTTCTGAAGATGGAAATTACTTATATTGAATCGAGAAATTTAAACACTTCACATCTTCCCCTCTTGGGTGTTTTTCATTTCATTTGAAGGCGGGTTTCGCAGTCATGTCAAAACATCTTTAGATTTTTGTATTTTGGTTGAAATATTTCTACTCTTTATGTATAGAAAGTTTTCGTTTTTGTTTGTCTCTTCAATGTTGAATGTAAACACGTGAAAGTGTTTGTCAGACGGTCGTTTGAATATTTTATCATGATCAAATTATAACGTAATCCACTTCAAATACATCGCACTCGCTAATCCTTTTACAATTTTTCCCTTTTTCAGGCATTGCACCGTTTTTGAATGGAAACATATTACATGCCATTACATGTGAACAGATGTTTGAGTTTACATATACAGTAAAAAAAACGGTTAGCTCTGTGAATATTTGGGGGGTTGAATGGCCGAAGGGTTAGCGCCTGCGAATGTATCATAAGGTCTATCATTGAGTGAACTGACTTGGTTTCGAGTCACTGGTTGTAGGGTCGCCTGTCCATGCTCGGGGGTTTTATCTGGGTCCTCCGGCTTTCTTCTACTGCTAAAGACCCCTATGCCCCAAGCGAATTATTGAAATAAAATTAAACCATACGTTAGTCATGAAATTACCTAGATTGTGTCAAGTGCATATTACCCCGGTCTCTCTCTCACTTTCTCTCTCTCTCTCTCTCTCTCTCTCTCTCTCTCTCTCTCTCTTTCTTTGAATATTTCAATCAGTTGAGGAGTGACATCAGATGTTCTAGATCGGTGGCTCAGCAAGTAAGGTACTGGCTCACTAACCAGAAGGTTAGGGTTTGATCCTGGCATTGGCTGGGAACTTTTTTCAGGTTTTGCCAACATGGTTTTCTCTTGTCCAGTTGGGGTTTAACAAAAGGCCTTAGAAGGAACGGTGTTTAGTCATTCCAGTAGCGCGAAAACAACTGAATTTACATAAACATCATGGTGTGCACGTAAAAGAACCCTTGTCGATCTGATACTTCCACTGCAATCCCAAGCAACACGGACATGACAAATTAATCTAGCCCAATGCCTTAATTTTATATACCTTTATTTCTTGACTAAAATTAATATATCACCCTTCTCTGTACATTCCCAACTCAAGTATTAACCCGCGGTTATGTATTTTGTTCCAAGATGTTTTTGTGAGGGGGATCTCCTGGCCTATGTTCCAAGTCGTTCGTTTGTTGTGAATGAGACCAAAGAGTATTCAGTCCCATTAACCTCCCCACTTCAACCCTTTATTTGTCATCTTGCTATAAGATGTTTTACCCCCATTCAGTCTGAACATCTCCTACTGCGCCTAGCAGGGGTTTCAATAGCTGTGGTAAACTCCTTCAATACCACTCAAGCCATTTAAACATGTTAGCCCGGAGGCCATCGTTTCTCTCCTAAATCTATTGTTTGTCAGATCATCTAGGTTCTAATATACCAACGATTAAAAGACATTCTGGAGTTTTATAGGTGGAAATTATTTGCCTTTTTAAAGGGGTTTCAACTCCTTGTATTACGACAAACATACTTAGATCTATTTGTTATGAGGGGGTTTTTTTTGTTTATGGTAGACATTAAACATAGTGTAGTAGAGAGAAAGAGATTATCTATATTTTAAACATGCTTACAGGGCGTGACTCGCTAAAAAAAAAAAAAAAACCAAGAGAGAGGGGGTTTAACGTCCACTCGACACAAACCAGGTCATTTTGGGACTAACATATGGTTCAATTTATTTAAATAATTCGTTTGCGCGTAGGTTTCTTTAGCAGTGGGAGGAAACCGGGGGACCCGGAGAAAACCCACGAGGTTGGACAGGCGACCCTACTCCCTGTCACGTACAACCGGGGAATCAAAACCCCAGCAGTTGACCCAATGACAGACCGTATGATACAGCGCACACATGCTAACCATCACACCCCCCCCCCCCCCCCGAAAGAAAGTAGTGCTAGATACATAAGATTAAATGATACCTGGATTACAGTGTTATACACCACTTGGTACTACTTTTCATTTAGATAGGAATTCACCCATATTTCATTAAAGGGATTATTACATTGCATTATGATATATCACATTATTGCATTATGATATATCACATTATTGCATTATGATATATCACATTATGATGTCTCATTTATTGCATTATGATATCACATTATGATATCTCATTTATTACATTATGATATCACATTATTACATTATGATATCACATTTTTTCGATTACAATAATTGCATTACATAACATTACTGTATAACATTTAAAACAGGACATGACATTAATATATTACAGATGGAAACACAGATAGTGTCATATACATTTAATTAAGTACATTGTTTTCAGATGGTACTAAATATCAAAACTATTATATGTTATAGAATTTTCAGGGGGGTTGGATGGCTGAATGGTTAGCGTGCGCGCGCTGTATCATAAAGTCTGTCATTGAGTCGACTGGCGTGGTTTCGAATCCCTGGTTGTACGTGGCAAGGAGTAGGGTCGCCTGTCCAACCTCGTGGGTTTTCTCCGGGTCCTCCGGTTTCCTCCCACTGATAAAGACCCCTACGCGCAAACGAATTATGTAAATAAAATTAAACCACATGTTAGTCCCGGAATGACCTGGTTTGTGTCGAGTGGACGTTAAACCCCATTTCTCTCTCTCTCTCTCTTATAGAATTTTCAACTTTAACTCCCGACAATTTAATTATAAATTGTTATAGTACGATTCAACTTTAACTCAAGACAATTTAATTATTTGTTATAGTAAGATTCAACTTTAACTCCCGACAATTTAATTATTTGTTATAGTACGATTCAACTTTAACTCAAGACAATTTAATTATTTGTTTCAGGTTCATGGTTCGCCAGCAGTTAATGATATTATATTCAGAAAGATTAAAGAACAGAAGATAGTGCTGCCACCAGGCGACTCTCTCAAATTCAACTATCAGCTTATTAACCAGTGTAGTAATAGACATGTTCAAATGAAGTACGGAGGAAAACGGGGTAGAGTCAATGGTCGGGGTCGCCCCTCAAGTAATTTCAGTAAGTTTCAATCAAATCATTATGGCTTTTCATCTTTCACTTAAAGAGGGTGAGAGGGGGTGTTGGATGGCCGAATGGTTAGCACGCATGTAGCATCATAAAGTCTGTCATTGAGTCTACTAGCGGGATTTCAATACCCCGGTTGTACGTGACAACCGTGTGGCTTTTCTCAGGTTTCCTCCCACTGCTAAAATACCGGCTATACGCAAGCGAATTAATCAAATAAAATTGAATCATATGTTAGTCCCAAAATGACCTACTTTGTGTTTAAACCCCATTTCTCTCCATCTCTTCCAAACCCTTCAAAAGTTATATATTACATTAATAATATGATACTATATTATAAAGCCCTTATTTAATTTATGCAATACCGTAAATACTGTCTCGTTATCAAAGTATGACATCGGGCTATGGTTGTGAAACACTGCAGACAACACTTGTCATCTTTACCCTAAACATCTGATCAAAACCAACTCAATTGACAAATTTCTATTCATCGTTCTCATTCAGTTATATCTTCTTAAAATCCAGTGTTTGGTAACCCGATACTCTGACTAGGGGTATTTATCAAACTGTATTCGTTATGAACTGTACGACATGACAGTTTTCAATAAAGGGCTCAGGAACACAGTCGGATGTGAATCTGTGATAAGCTTCCAACCCATCCTATTCATCATCAAGCTTTACATCTTAATCTCAGTGCAAAAAACCCCAACCACACTAAAAAAAAAAAAACGCAAAATAATTTAGGTACATTAAATCTATTAATAATTTGAAGATAGTTTGCGTAAAAGATGAACAAGGTGAATAAACAATGCGGAATATCCATTTGAAAAAAAAACCTGTGTCAATGATAATTCTTCCTCAATGACTGTAGTTCTGATAAAAAAGATCACAATGCAATTTATATTAAAACAATCACTGATTTCTACTCATATTATATCACAACGTTTCTGCAAATGTCCTCTTATCAATTTCAAGCATTTTCAAGTGTTTTCAAGACCATGCTTTCTTTCACTGACTGGGCTAATCATATCTGGAGGTGGCACAAAAATCGTTGAATCATATTCCTATGATTCGCGTATTGAATCGTGAGACGCTGAATTGATTTTTCACAATTCTTTTTTTGTCACTCGTAATTATCCATGTCACACATTATCCATAGGTACCACGGTCCTTATTTTGATCCACATCAATGTCATGATATAAAACAGTTTTATTTCATGACATTTGTTAGGCCAAATTTTATTTAGCTATATTTTGTGACTAGTGTTGTGTACAAGACATACTATGCTTACCGTCTTTAATAGCAGGGGTTGGGGGATAGCCGAATTGTTAGCACATGCACATTGCATCATAAGGTCTGTCATTGAGTCAACTGGCATTGTTTCGATTCCCTGGTTGTATATAACACAGAGTGTCGTCGCCTGTCCAACCTTGTGGGTTTTCTCCGGGTCTTCCGATTTCCTCCCACTGCTAAAGAACCCTATGCGCAAGTGAATAATTGAAATAAAATACAACCATATGTTAGTCCCGAAATGACCTAGTTCATGTCGAGTGGACATTAAACCCCATCTCTCTCTCTCTCTCTCTATATATATATATATATATTTGATGCACTTAATAACATCTGTGATGTAATAGCGAGATTAAGTAACGGCTACAGTTTTATTTATTACTTATAGCCAGGACACGCAACACGAGAAACTGATTATGTCAACATAAATTTACATAATAGGAATTTTAAATTGACATAAACAGGTTTGGAGAATTTTTAATATTAAAAATCTTACGAGATTGTTTCCGAAAATATCCCAAATATGACACAGGAATAGACATCTGACAGATTAAATAGAAACTAATATAGAAAACTTGAATTTCAAATTACACGTTCAGCTCAAGTAATAATGGGTGTTCTGTGCCATCATGATGCAGGACGGAGGGCCTGACAAGGACAGCTGTCTAGTCATTTGGATAGGACGAAAAACTGAGATCCCATGTACACATGTGTGTTTATGTAAAATAACCCTTAGCAGTTGGAATTCGAGACCGTAGTGCGCTGCCCAGGCAAAATTTGCTTCATAACACACTGTATGGCATATGCCCCTCTTCTTTAGCCTATTTGGAGCAGACGAACAGTAGGAGGTTAAACCCCATTTCATTTAATTTCTAATTACCGGTATAATTTGAACAGTTATTTCACCCACTTGTTCCGTGTTTTATTGATGAGGAAAAGAAAATGTTTTAAAGTTTTCTAAATATTTAAAACATGAAATTATGATTTATGTGTTTTAAAATTTAATTCAGTTTTACTCATTTACATATGTTGTATACTATTTACGTATATAATGCCCAATAACGTGAACACATGGTTCTGTAAATTACCACAGACTAAACGAACCCGCCCTAGTGGCAATTGCATGACAGCTCTTCAAATGTTGCTCATAAAAAATTGAAAACCGAAAAGATATTTTTAATTTACGTGCCAGGTTTGTCATATCTCTGGTGTCTACTTCATTCATTGTCTCAAATTTCAAAGTATGAAATTTGCATAAAAAATTAATTTGACATGAATCGACTGTTAGTGAACGGTAGGTGTGCTTTGTTGGTCGGAAGCTATTAGATACAAGTATACGATTAAGCTATATTGTAAGAAAATCTGATACACCATCTTTACGTCCTGTTTTGATACTGAACATAATATACAACGCCTTAACATTTACATTATAATATACAATACATGCTTGTCAGCTGCAAGGTTTCTCTTTTAGATGGGGTGACAGACAATAACAAGGTAATGTGTCTAGTTTTTCCCATGGGATGAAAAACCAAGGATCCCCTGATTAGGCCGTGATATACAATACATGCTTGTCAGCTGTGAGGCTAGCAAGTAGAGTTTCTCTTTTAGATCGAGTGAGAGACAAGAAACCCCTTGCTAAAGGTAATGTGTGTAGTTTTTCCGATGGAACGAAAAACTGAGGTCCCGCACATATACCCTAAAGATCCCCTGAATAGGCCGTTGTTGCAGGACAAAATTGTCCTTCTGAATTAGTCCAGCCGAGAAAATTCATCCAGATTTTCCGACGTGGTTTCCCCCCTTGTCAGTGATGCAGGAAGGAGGGCCTGACAAGAACAGCTGGCTAGTTGTTCGGATGGTACGAAAAACCGAGGTCCCGTGTACAAATTGGCGTGCACGTAAAAGATCCCTTGGCAGTTGGAATTCAATATAAGAGTAGGCCGTAGTGCCGCTGCCCAGGCAAAATTTCCCTCATAACACACTGTATGGCGTATGCCCGTCTTCATTAACCCCATTTCATTTCATTTCAATGAGTCCAAGTAGTCTGAGACGTTCACGGCAAGTCCCATACATATTTATTCTCTATAACTGTTCAAATGCTGTTTTTTTTGTTTTTTTCAGCCCATTTAACTTTTATCTCCTTATCAGACGGAGTAATTCGTGTTCGAGGGGCCGAAACCAAAAAATATCTCTGTTTCAACAGAAAGGGCAGATTAGTCTTAAAGGTAAGCAGGTTAATGTTTGTTTATCGCAGTGCAGGACTAAGGGCCTTGAAAGAACAAATGTCTAGTCGTTCGGATAGGACGGAAAAAACCGAGGTCCTGTGTACACATTGGCATGTAAAAGATCCCTTGGCAGTTGGAATTAGATAGAAGAGTGGGCTGTGGCATAAAATTTCCCTCATTGCACACTGTATGGCATATGCCCATCTTCATTCGCCCAGACGGAGCAGAACAGTAGGACGTTAAAACCCCATTTCATTTCATTTTGCTATTCAGGTTGACGACATTCTGTTTGTGTTATTAACAGAAACTGGTATGACCTGTCCTCATCTCATGACGGCATTCATCTCATACTTTACATTCACTTTACTTATGTAATAATATATCTGCCGTCATCTTATATCACCTACATATTTATTTCCTTAAATTTTAAACTTAATTTGCAATTCTATTTAAAGTATCATAAAGTGTATGTTTGGTAGTGGTTTCACATGTTTTGCCTATTCACAAAAAAAAAAAGAAATGTGTTTTAAAAAAAAATATACATTTAATTATTTCGCAAAAAATATAATTTGTTACCGAAAACCTGATTTCTAGGATTTCCCACTGTCAACAGCAAATTTTAAACTCTAGATGAGAGAAATTCTGCCCAATGAGTGGCGCTATGTTATTCTTATATCAGTTCGATTCCCCGGTTGTACGTGAAAAGGAGTAGGGTCACCTGTCCAGCCTTGTGGGTTTTCTCTGGGTCCTCCGGTGTCCTCCCACTGCTAAAGACCCCTACACACAAGTGAATTATTGAAATAACCTAGTTTGTGTTGAGTGGACGTTAACCCCCCCCCCCTCTCTCTCTCTCTTATATCAAAGATTCTGTTTGGTTCACACCATTGTGTACAGGGGACCTCTGTGGTTTTTTTTGTCCCATCCGAACAACTAGACATTGTTCTTGCCAGACTGTGCTCCCTGAACCATGCAATAATTTCTTTAACAAATATTCAATATCAAATCTTTGCTTGAAAATTTGTAAGAATCATCCAATTCAACAGCGTTTAATTTCCCAATCACTGTTAAAAAATAAACAACCCACTTGATTATTGATGTATAATTAAAGATTTTTGAACAGTGGTCAGGAAATTAGTTGCTTGTAAATTGGACACTCATTGGTGATTTTAAATGATTTTTACGAATTTTCAAACAAAAATTTGATATTGAATGAATGTGAAAGAAATTTATGCTAAATACACAAGATTAAATGATACCCAGGTTGCAGTGTTAATCATGGGCTCTTTTAAACAAATTGGTTTGTTATTCTTATTTGGATGAGCTGTGGTGACGCAAACATACACAAGTAATTACATTTTTAACCAATTGAGGAATTTAGTTTGAATTGGAGTAAAATCCTATTTAAGCTAATACAGGCCTACATAATGATTGTTGAATATAATGGTCATGGATCCATCTTTTAGAATAAGTTCCTAGATACCGTGTAACACATTATAAACAGTATCAGTCAATAACTGAGTAAAATCCTCTTATTACCCAATATCAAATGAAGTGTGTTTATTTTGTTGTGTTTTGGTTTCACCTTAGGTTTAACTAATGCTCCTGCATCCTTTCAACGTTCACACGTTTGTTACACAATAATACAACTGCAGATAAACTGCTTCTCACCTCGGTTTCTCACCACAATATATCACAGGATGTAAATATCAAATTAACTTCGGTTGGGAATATATCAGTTGAAGACAAACTGAATGTTCACGTACAGTAAAGTTAACCTATAACGTTCTTCATTTAAAAGCCATATAACACTGTAACCCAGGTATCATTTAATCTTGTGTATCTAGCACTATAACGTTCACATACAATAAACTTCATATATAACGTTCTAGTTTAAACAATATTTTATTCAATAAGGCAAAGGCCTATATAAGTTTTTTGGTTTTAACATCAATTTACAACGTAACAATTTAAAACCAAGGGGGCCTAACAAGGACAGCTGTCTAGTCATTCAGATGGTATGAAAAACCGAGGTCCCATGTACACATTGGGGTGCACGTTAAAGATCCCTTGACAGTTGGAATTCAATATTAGAGTAGGCTGTAGCGCCGCTGTCTGGGCAAAATCTCCCTCATAGCACACTGTATGGCATATGCCTGTCTTCATTAGCCCAATCGGAGCAGAACAGTAGGACGTTGATTTCGTTTTATTTCATTTGTAATATTTAGTAATTGAATTAAAGTACTACAGTGACTTTTCCGTTCCCTTTGAAGACTACCCTGATGCACTATGTAGATAACACATCATAAAAACATATATATATTTATCAATAAAACCCATGAATCATTGACTCAACTGGTGATTCAGTCCACATCCAAATAATACATGCACCGGAAACATCTACGTTTTTATTTTACAAAAGTATCATTGATAAAAAATGTGCACTATTCTTTCGAACTCTGATTGGCTTTCAGTTTTTTGTTGAAGGTGGGGATATTTTTTGCGAATTATCCCGATATTTCTGATTGTTGTGTGTTTCTTTGATTGTGAATATAAAGTGTTTTATTGTGATGGCATTTAACTGTTTTTTTTTGATTGTCTTGGTTTAAATCATGGTGTTCAGCATCACCTTGTATAAAAAAGATTAATATTCATGCACAATTGCACAACTATTTGATTGAAGTCGCTAAAATGGTTTCAATTGTTCTTCATTAACTTTTTTTGTAAAGGAGCCAAGTCTGTGTGCAGTTCTCTAGTTCTTACGATTGGGTAAATTAGGGTGCAAATAATAACCAAGTTTCATTATAATACAATATACAAATGCATGGTTAAACACGAGTAAGGGTAAATGGAAAGATATAATGACCAAGTCATGGGTAGGGGGAAATGGAAATGAATTGAAATGCTGTTTAACATCCTACTGTTCTGCTCCTATACTGGGCTAGTAAAGATGGGCATATGCCATACAGTGTGCTATGAGGGAAATTTTACCCAGACAGCAGCACTACGGCCTACTATTATATTGAATTCTAACTGCCAAGGGATCTTTTACGTGCACACCAATGTATACAGGAGACCTCGTTTTTTCGTCCCCATCCAAACGACTAGACACCTGGCCTTGTCAGGCCCACCATCCTGTACAATTGACATTCTATGTATAAAACCGTATTGCATATTTATAATTAAGAGAGAGAGAGAGAGAGAGAGAGAGAGAGAGAGAGAGAGATGGGATTTAAGTACACTCGACACAAACTAGGTCATTTCGGGACTAACATATGGTTTTAATTTTATTTCAATAATTTGCTTGCGCGTACGGGTCTTGGGAGGAAACCGGAGGACCCAGAGAAAACCCACGAGGTTGGACAGGCGACCCTACTCCTTGTCACGTACAACCAGGGATTCGAAACCACACCAGTTGACTCAATGACAGGCCTTATGATACAGCGCGCGCATGCTAACCATTCGGCCATCCAACCCCCTTTTATAATTAAGAAAAGACTGGTAGACAGTTAGTTATTATGACTGGATGATAGGGCCTATATATGGGAATAAAGTATACATATTACCTTATTTTAATTGAAAAATAAAATCAACATGGTTCAAAGAATCCATTTACAATTTTATTGTGGTTAAAAGAATTTATTGGATTAATTTTTTTTTAAAAAAGAATTAAATAACAAGGTTTTAAATTTACTGAGGCAGGTATGTGTAGTGGTATGTGTGCAGCTTTGACCTAAATAACACGTCAATCTTAATGTAAAAGGCATATTGTTAAAGTGTGGTTGATCATGTTACTTACCTAACAATAGAATAAACGAGAAGGTGTAAATGCATACCTGTATCTATCTACCTCCGTTTTATTTCACTTCTTACAAAAATAAAGTTTAATGTTCCCGTCAGTAAAGAAGAACACTGTCTCCCGAGTTCACCCATACTTATAACGTACAGTGCATACAAAGGTACAATGATTTCGATTTCCTAGTGTTTCAATTTTACACCTGGGAACGACACAAACTAGGTCATTTCGGGACTAACACATGGTCAATTTTATTTCAATCCTTCGCTTGCGCGTATGGGTCTTTAGAAGTGGGAGGAAACCGGATGACCCAGAGAAAACCCACAAGGTTGGATATTTGAATATGATTTTGCAGTCTTTCTATAGATATGGGGTGATTTACTTTTATTGCTATATTATTAACTAAAAACAACATAATCTACTAGATTATTTAGCAGTGCAGATTAGTTGCATTTAACCGTGAAAGGTGTCAACAAAGTTGCATGTCAAACCCAACATTTTTGTCAGAAATATGACACTAATAAGAGTATTCACAGTTTTCACAATAGCCGCATGTAGATTGCACAAAGCAACAAAATGACAATATTGATAGCACAAGCTTTAATATAACTTATGTTTCTAAACATTCAATAACATTATAACCTGCCTTCAAGGAGTTGATAATAAAACTGATAATATTGATGTTTTGGTTGTACGATTTCAATAATCAACTCCCAGTGGTCTACAGAGTCAATGTTTTCTACCGTATTTATCAGTGTTTTTTGTCACCTGTCTAACCTTGTGGGTTTTCTCCGGGTCCTCTGGTTTCCTCCCACTGGTTGTACGATTTCAATATTCAACTCCCAGTGGTCTACAGGGTCAATGTTTTGTACTGTATATATCAGTGTTTTTTGTCGCCTGTCTAACCTTGTGGGTTTTCTCCGGTTCCTCTGGTTTCCTCCCACTGCTAAAGACCTTAATGCGCGAGGGAATTATTGAAATAGAATTGAACCATATGTTAGTCCCAAAAATGACCTAGTTTCTGTCGAGTGGACTTTAAACCTCATTTTTTTCTCTCTCCCTTTCTTATTGGAAATCTGTTCGGAACATTTTAGTTGTATTCTGCATTTTAAATAAAAACGGATAGTTTATCTACAGCGTACATTAATATTCACCATCTCACTTTGTATATAATTTGTTCTGTATATGGTTTGTAAACTGTGCCCCT